TTCTTTCTTTCTTTCTTTCTTTCTTTCTTTCTTTCTTTCTTTCTTTCCGTCTCCCTGTATCTTATTTTTCTTTTTATCTTGCCTGCCTGCCTGCCTGTCTTCCTCTTATTCTGCACTTGTGCATAATATGCCTTAATCTAAACGGGAAGAACTTGCTGGCTACCTACAGAGATTATTTTTGCCTAATGGGAAGATCAAAAGAAGCGTTGAGTTTCTTGAGCTCCTATTTAAAGCAGTCGCTTGGAGCAGGATGAAAAAAATGCTGACTCCACAGCGCAGAGACAAATGGATTTGGGGTGTGTGTGTGTGGACTCTGCCACCTGTTAGAAGTCTGGCTACTCGACCGCTGCTCCATTATTCAGCAATATTTGCTGTCCGAAAAGCAGCCATTATTTAGGGGCTTGTAAAGGCCAACTAGATCCAGTCCTCAGGGCAAACATCTCTAGGCAGTGCCTGTCTGGAAGAGAATCCTGGCTTTATATTTACCTACTGGGAAGAACAGAGCTTGGACACCCTTCCAGCCATCTGCTGAACTGCCATTGTGTCACCCAGATCTACTTGGCAAAACTGAGAGTGCCCGGCTGCCAATTGCACCCATTAAGTGCCCTTTTCCTGCACTTGGGTGGCTGGAAGCTGCTGCACGGTTGATGTGATTAAGTTTCAATCAAGCACACAACGATGCTCCCAGCTGAGTCACAGCAACACAGTATGAGAGACCTGCGGTGAAAACTTAAAGAGAAGCTGGCAGAGAGGATTATAATTTATATTCTCTCGTTCTTTACCAATTTCTTTTTTTATTATTATCTAGGAAGTTAGCACCCACCCCTCTCCTAGAAAATTGAAATATCCTATGAAATATTAAAAAGGCAGAATATTTCCCCTAAAAAGAGTAGAAACTCAAGAGCAGAAACACCTCAGGAGCAGAAAGTCACCCCCACTTTTGTTAATGGGTGGGCCATTAAAACTTGGGCCAGAATACTTTGCATAACGAAGATCTCCAGGTAAAGCTATAGCAATTGCCCAAAGCCCTTTCATTACATCATCATCATCCAGTAAGGCTCAACCAAGCCTGGGACTCAGGACAGCCTATAGAGTTGTCCCTGCATGGCCCCATGGGAGTCTGACAACCAATCAGAATACAAACTCCAATTCCAATCCCAACAAAGGTTATAAAACTCAGGGACTCTCAGCATATCTTCCCTTCCTTCTCTTTTCCTTCACCTTGGAGCAGGTGATCATTCTTCTTTGGAGCTTCAAACCCTGTGGTCCTGCTGTCCACCATTAAACCACCTTCCAAACAACCTCCATGTTTCCAGTGTCTTTTTCCCTACTTGGAACTGAACCCAGAAGGATATTTCTTCCAACAATTATTATTTATTTCATTTTTAAAAACAAAATTACAAATCTCTATTTACATTAACAGCATTGTGTCATTTGTAATACCTGTTTCTTTTTGTACTTATACATCAGTTCTAATTCCTATATTCTACCCATTTGTACCACCTATTCAGGGGTGGGAATCAAATTTTTTAACAACCGGTTCTGTGGGCATGGCTGAGTTGGTGGGCATGGCTTGGTGGTCATTTTATTGGCTGGGTGTGGCCAACTCAACATCACTCACATTGAGGCACGCATCTCCTCGCCGGGCCTCACATGGCTGTGAGGATGCTGCAACAGTCGTAAGTGTGAAAAATGGTCATAAGTCCCTTTTTTCAGTGCCATTGTAACTTTAAATGGTCACTCCACACAAGCAAAGTACCACCAAAGGGGGGAAAGAAACTCCTGAGACAGGAAGTCTAGTCCTGCCGAGAATGTCATAAGGGTTAATGGAGAGGCAGTTTCTGTGAGCAACACCAGAATGTTTCCTTCCTGCCTTCCTTACAGGATTAGGCCAATAATTTCTTCTAACAACCGGTTCTCCAGACTGCTTAGAATGTTAACAACCAGTTCTAGAGAATAGGTGTGAACTGATAGAATCCCACCCCTGCACCTATCCCAAACCACGTAATAGTCCAATTCGTCCTTGCCTATTAATTCCACTGTGAATTTATCCATTTCCACACAGTCCATTATTTTTTGTATCAGATCTTCTTCGGATGGTATTTTTTTTCTTTTTTCCAGCCCTGTGTGAAAGCTATCCTCGCCGCCATTATAATATGTATAATGATGTATTGGATAGACTTGCTAATTCTTTACCAATTACTATATTACTGCTTCTTACAAAGGGTGACATCATACCAATGGTGACTCTTGTAACCAGAAAGCTTTGAAGCCAGATGGAATTTCGTTGCACTTGATTCTTATTGCAAGCTTCTAAAGCTCTGCTTCAAAACCTTGGTAACTTGAACTTCAACTCCCAGAATGCCCCAGTAAACACGAGAGTTGAAGTCCAACCATCTTAAAGTGGCCATGCTTGAAAAAAAGCCACTCATCAATATGATTGGTTTAGTGGTGGGTATTTCTGTCTCTCTGAAAAAAAATGCTCTTGGCACCGAATTTATACTTTATACCAACTTTGCTTGTCAGAAGGTCATAAGAGGGGATCCCATGACCCCAGGACACTGCAATAGTTGTAAATATGAGTCAGTTGCTAAGCATCCAAATTTTGATTACATGACTATGGGGATGGCACAATAGTCGTAAGTATGAAAAACGGTTCTAAGTCACTTTTTTTTAGTGTTCTTATAACTTCAAATGGTCATTAAATGAATCATTGTAAATCAAAGGATTATCTATATCTTTACCTATAAATCTTCAACCAACAGGAAAATATGGCTTAAAATTCAGGAATCCTTCCAGACACGCTTCCCAGGTCAGAGTCACACAATATTCTTAACCTTCAACCAAAATGAATGAGCAATGTTTCTTATTATCCCATCAAAATAAATCTGCCAAAATAAACAAACCATCGAATGTGCTTCATTCACGTAACATGTTAAGATAATGGTTGGATTCCCACAAGTGGCTGAATCACCAATCCTAGAGTCGTGCATATTCGATGGACAAACTCAATTTGGGATCTTTTCCAGTCTCTGAAGCAAATGAGAATACATTCAAGTTTGAATTTCGCAGAACCCAAGGGCACCAAGAGGCAATATATACAGATTCATCAGCCCAGTTCTTCTGCTTAGCTTTTTCCAGTCTTTTTCCATTCTGCCAACATTGGACCCAAATTTTTGTCTTGGATTTCAACAGGCTCGCTATCCACAGGAAGATTTGTGAGGTGTGGTGGGTGCTAATTAAGTATTGCGTTGCAAAGTGTAACAAAAGACAAGGAAGTTTAGTCGTGGCCCATTGGATCATTCATAGAACATTGAATAACAGAGTTGGAAAAGACTTTGGAGGTCGTCTAGTCTGACCTTAGGGCAGGAGACCCTATTCCAGTGATGGCGAAACTTTTCAGTACCAAGTGCCCAAAGTACGCAGGCACATCCCCAAAATGCAATGTGTGCCCGTGCCCTGTGCATGCACCCCGTGCATGTGTGCATAACCATGTGTGTGAGACCCCCTGCACCCACCACACGTGTGTGTGACCTCCCTGTGACCCCATGCATGTGCATGCAACCCCTGCATGTGCACCCCCACATATGCATGCGCGCCCCACCCCCTGCATGGCAGAGACCTGAAGACCAGCTGGCCGGCAGGAGGCACATGGGTGCATGCACAGTGGAGCTGAGCTGGGGCAATGGCTTGTGTGGTCAGAGAAAGCGCTCTGCTTGCCACCTCTGGCATGTGTGCCAAAACTTCACTATCACGGCCCTATTCCATTTCAGAGAGATTTCTTCTTGAAAGCTTCCAGTGGGGCCACAACTTCTGAGTCAGTGTCATGCCACTGGTGGAGACTGACTCTGAGGGAGAGGAGGAAGAGCCGACAGGGAGTGGAAGTGTGGCTCCGGAGGTTGTGGAGGAGGCTGAGGAAGGGCAGAGGCTGGCTGAGCAGTCCCAGGCCCATCAGGGGTGGGATACTACCAGTTCCCACCTATTCGCTAGAACTGATTGTTAACATTCTAAGCAGTTCAGAGAACAGGTTGTTGGAAGAAATTACTGGCCTAATCCTGTAAGGAAGGAAACATTCTGGTGTTGCTTACAGAAACTGCCTCTCCTTTAACCCTTATTACGTTCTTGGCAGGACTAGACTTCCTGTCTCAGGAACATCTCTGGAGTTTTTTTCCCTCCTTTGCTGGTACTTTGCTTGTGTGGAGTGACCATTCAAAGTTACAATGGCACTGAAAAAAGTGACTTATGACCATTTTTCACACTTACGACTGTTGCAGCATCCCCACAGTCATGAGAGGCCAGGTGAGGAGATGCGTGCCTCGATGTGAGTGATATTGAGTTGGCCACGCCCAGCCAATAACATGACTACCAAGCCATGCCCACCAACTTAGCCACGCCCACAGAACCGGTTGTTAAAAAATTTGAATCCCACCCCTGAGGCCCATCCCCTATCCATCCTAGTGCACGCAGGGAGGAGAGGATAAGGGAGAGACATGGTCTACTCAGGAGGAGAGGGCCTTCATCCTCTTCATGGGCTGCAGCTGTGACAACTGGATAAGAGGACGGACACGCATACGGGTGAGCGCTGGAAACAAAGCGTGGAAATATCTCTAGTTTATGGTTCCTCTCTGAGTTTGGCGTCCTTCCCAGTGTGCGTTATCTGTGGACGTCCTCCAGCCCTTATCTTGCCTGGTTTGTGTTGCTTTTTTCCTTCTTCATGTAACTGTTTGTGTGGGAGTTTTTTTGTCTTCTGTCAAAGATATTTGGAGCTTGGAAGCAAAGTGAAGGAATAAAAGGGGCTTAACCTGTTTTCTGTGGCCGTGTTTGTTTCGCATCCCGCCCTGGGTCATCACAGTCAAGCTGTTCCATTGGTTGCCTACTCTCACCTTTAGGAAATGTCTCTTTCGTTCTAGGTTCAAAGCCTTTTGGATTAAACCTACATCCCAACAGGGCTGATGGTAGGATAATTTGTCAATCACCTTGATCTTACCCTCTACCCCTTGTGGTCAGGTGATGGTGTGTTGGGGGCACCACTTCTGCCCTGAAGGGCAGTTTAAGAGAAAGCTTCAAAGTTCTCATAGCTGGTGAAGTTCCGGAGGAGTTCTCTGATGTTCTGGAAGTCCGGCCTTTGGTTGGGATCCAGGTTCCAGCATTGGCACATTAGGGAGTACATGACAGGGGGGCACCTGGGCGGGCAGTGCATCTGGAAGCCATTTTGAACCTTGGTGGAGACCTCCAAGTTACTCATGCCTGTGGGAAAGGAAGGGAAAACGCAGCCTTATTGACGTATTCCGCGTATGGCATGAAATACCCGGAGAGCAGTAGATGTAGTCCTCGACTTACGCCCACAATTGAGCCCAAGATTTCTGTTGTTAAAGTGAGATACTTATTCAAGGAGTTCTGCCTCATTTTACGACCTTTCTTGCCGCGGTTGCTAAGTGAATCAATCAGAGAGGAAACCCCCCCCCCAATGCCCTGTTTTCAGCCTGGACGGCCTTCAGCAGCACCCTGGTAGAGTGCAGAGGGTCTCTGAGTCCCCCTCCCACACACCACGGTTTGGCTGCCAGAGGTGCTGCAGGCCGGTCCTTTGCTATTTCCAGGTTGGCCCTGCCGGCCAGATTTAAGTACCTCGCGGCCTGGATCTGGCCCCCGGGGCCTTGAGTTGGACACCCCTGTTCTAAAGGGATCCAGAAGGGAGAAGCCTGATCCGATCTGAGAGTTTTGCAGTGAAAATTCAGCACCAGAAAAAAATGAACACAGATGGCTGATGCTTCATTTAACATCTTTATAAACAGAATAAGTAGATTTTACAAACCGGCTGTAGATTTCTCCAACAGGGAGCAAACTCAAACAGAAACGTGTTGCAAGTTCAGAGCAGAGCTCCGGTTTTCAGCAAGCAAGCAAGCTAGTTTTGCAGGCAGGCAAAAGGAGAGAGGCCGTTTCATCTCCATAGACAGAGCTCAACATAGCTTCGGAGCTGCAGAGCTTAACATAGCCACACCTAGGCTACTTCTAGTTTCAGTTTCCAAACTGTCCTCATTGGCTGATTTAATTGCTATGGCTATTCATTGGCTGATCTTGTTACCAAGCTCTATTTCAGTTCGTGAATATACTCTGACAGGGTCCTAAGGATACCCAACCAAACTCTGTGCTCTCGTCCCCATACCTGGATACGGGTTCTGCCCGCGGGTCATGATTTCATACAGGAGGATGCCAAAGGACCACACGTCCGATTTGATGGAGTAGCATCCGCAGGAAAGGGCTTCCGGTGCGGTCCACTTGTAAGGAAAGCTCTGGGTGTAAGAGAGGTAGATATCTTCCTGCAAAGACAGAAACAGAGGGTGATCCACTTTGTACGGTGTCTTTGGAAAACTTGACATTTCTAGATCCCCTCAAAAAGGGATCTGTTATGTACAGACAAGGTCCAATCAAGGGACCGAGTGTCGGGGTCATAATCCACAGTTTCTGAACATTATAGGTCGTCCTTGACTTGCAACATTTCAATGAGTGACCGTTCAAGGCTACAATGGCACTGAACAAAGTGACTTACGACCGTTTTTCACACTTATAACCGTTGCAGCATCCCTAGGGTCATAGGATCTAATTTTGGGTGCTCAGCATCTGGTTCTTATTTATAACGGTCGCAGTGTCCTCGAGTTATGTGATTCGCTTTTGCGATCTTCTGACAAGTAAGATCAATGGGGAAGCCAGATTCACTTAACAACCACGTCAGTAACTTAATCGCAGTGATTTATTTAACCACTGTGGTAAGAAAGGTCGTAAAATGGGGCACAATTCATTTAACGAACGTTTCGCTTAGCAACAGAAAATTTGGGCTCAGTTGTGGTTGTTAAGTCGGGGAGTACCTGTAATATCAGGGATACGTTACATTCCTTTTTATTTTTCATATTATTCTTAGGTTGCATTAGTTTGGTTTTTTTTTTAACCTTTATACTTTTAAACATCACTAAAAGCTATTTAAAAAACTGACCAATTGCCATCCCTAACTTTTCAGCAATAATAATAAAGTTATATTTAATTTAATATATAAAAATATATTGACAGATCCAAATCTTTATTTATTTATATATATATATAAATATAAAACAATGCCAAATAAGTTGATGTAGTATAGAGAGATCCAAATCTGTCTCTGTCTATCTATCTATCTATCTATCTATCTATCTATCTATCTATCTATCTATCT